CTACAGCCTAACCCTGACCACAAACCCTAAGGCTAACCTCACAGGTACCTACCTGACCCTAAAACTAACCTAAACTCTATTCATACGTTGGTCCTAAACCCAACCCCCAACCCACCAATGGCATTTAAACAAAATGGGGACTCGACTTTTGTCCCCAAATGCACCAGTTTTCCCCAAATGTAGGCATTTTGTCTTAAAATTGCCCCCAAATGTCACCGGAAACAATCCCCCATCACACATACACATCTCCACCAATCGACCAGCAGCCACTTCTTGCCTCTGCCTCCCTCATCTCCTTTTTTTTTTTCTTCTAGCCGAAGGTAAAAATCTGGAAGATGTGGAGACTCCAGGTGCTCTGCTAACACTGAGAGCAAAGATGGGTGTTTACTCTTCTATCCATTCTCTCCCCAGCACCTCTGTCAGGGCCCATCCATCCTCTTTCACACGGCCCTTCAGCCAGTATTAGCATCCGAATGATGATCGACGATGTTTTCATTGGCTCTGATACTATAAACCCTCACCACTTCAGAAAGAGCTAGCAGCTAATTACAAGGGGTACCTTTAAAAAGGGTGTGAGTGTGAATTTCGCTACTCCTCCACACTCTCTTGATCTTTCTGCAGATTTGTTTGAACGCTGATGAATGATTAAATATCTTCCTGTGGGTTTATCACCCTTCGCGGAGCCTTGTTAAGGTGTTTGATGTGCTCACCGTTCCTCCGTTTCCCCACCTCCCCTCAGATAGAGGAGCTGGAGCAGAGGTACGGAGGCCATCTCATCGCCAGGCGGGCGGCCCGCCGCATCCAGACGGCCTTCCGTCAGTACCAGCTCAGCAAGAACTTCCAGAAGATCCGCAACTCGCTGTCGGAGAGCAAGCTGCCCCGCCGGATCTCCCTGCGCCAGCCCAGTCCGTCGGGCCGGAACCGGAACGCGGCCCAGAGGCACAGTTACTCTCTGCACCCCGGAGGAGGACAGATACCTTTGCGCTCGAAAACGCCCCCTCCTCCTCCGTGTCGCTCCACGTCTCTGCCCCCGTCTCCTGCGTCGGGCCCGACGAACGCCCCATCTTCCACCTCCAACCAGGCCCCACCTCAAACCCCTGGACCCACCCTCACACAGCTGGAGGACTGCTTCTCTGAACAAGTCAGTGCTTTTTTCTGTTCTTTAAACTCATGATTAAAAAAAATATTAAAAAAGTGACTGAACAACCATCTATTCAAAATGACTAAATGAACATGATAAACTGGACTTTATAGTGAAATGTTTGTGATCCATCACATCAAACAGAAAATTAAGTCAGATTTGATCAAAGTGACCAAAACCCTTTGATCTCTGGATCATCCTGATATCATGAACAGTCCCAGATGATTTGTCTTCCTGATCAGGTAGATGATCAGGTTATATTCAGTAGATTAAATTTTTGTGGTGGCCATAACCCCCAACCCCCATAAATTACGCCTATAAGGATTTGGTCTGAATCCTATGGTGCACAAAAGAAGCTTTTCTTCTCAAAATCATGTCTTGTTGCTACTGGTCAAAAAAGCATTAAGATTACTGTATATTTCTACATCAAAGGACTTATATATGTTTTTATTCATTATATATGCAATTATTGCAAATGTTTCACTATAGCATGCCTATTTCTCAACTTCTGACTTAATCCTCAGTTTGATGTGATGGGTCATTTTTCAGTATGACTGATTATAATAAAATTTGTTTCCTGGCAATGAATCTTGGTAACTTGAACACCTCATAAATGTTTATAGGTAATGAAAGAGTTTTCATGGAACACGTTTTCTTTCTGATTACAACGTGCCCAGTTAGTAGGACAGATTTTTAGCAAAACAATTCACGTTTGTAAAGGTATACATATTTATAAAAGCTCAATTTTGGCACTTCAACAAACCCACATCAACTGTAAAATCTAAACCTCATTTTTTCACAATTTACTCCATGATGTGTTCAACCTAAACCACTTTTAGCACTTTCCCAGTGACTCTTGTGAGGGAAATATTCAGAGAAAAGTACAAAATAAATTCTGAGAGCAGCACTACACCGGACTCATGCTGCCAACTGGTAAAAAGATTTATTTCTTACCATATAATCAAACCAAACATGAAGTCAGAGCAAAAATATATTCCAGTTTTCTGTAAGCTCAGCAAACATTCCTGTAGACAAATACTTTGCAAAACAAAAAAATCACTTCACTCTACAGGGTAACAGTAAGTGTGGAGAAAAATGTCCAGTAGGCCTGATCTGTTTACCTCTGGCCTCAGAATTTCATTGACATCCCAGTTTAGACCCTCATTTAGCCAAGGAGCTCATCAGTACAGTGTTATTTATACCTGATAGGTGGGTTTTCAATGATGCAAGTACACTTAGAACAAAGTGTGTGTTTGGTAGATTATTTCTTTGTCGTACCAGGGCTTTAAAAAAACTGGAAAAATCTTTATTTTGGTGTTTAAGCGAGCAGCTACAAAAATCAGTAAAATGTAAACAGGAACAGAAATTGTCAAGTGTTTGCATATTTTTTTCTTTTGTAATAGTTTACTTTCTAAATTTCCCGAACAGTCGGTTAAGTAAAGGGTTTAAACTGATACAATTCATAGTTTTGTTATTGATTTCAGACCCTTAAATAAAACTCACAAATAAAGATCACATGCTGCTTTCAGCATAAGACAAAAAAAAAATAAAAAAAATAAATAAATAAAAACCGACTGACTCCAAAAGCTTGATACAAACTCTTGTTTGAATGCTGAAGCCTGCTCTGCTGTGTAACATTACTGTACAGTCACTATTAACAAGACTATTTATAATTAACTTCAAGCTGTCATTAACTTTCCCACACATGAATCATGCTCTTTGACCAAAGCTGATTGCTAATTTAATTAGATTTTTTTAATAATCATATTTGCAGCTTCACTCCTTGGCTCAGTCCATCGATGACGCCCTTCGTGGTTGGAGCATGTCAGAGAGCGGCGAGGGGAAAGGCCTGCTGATTGACCCCGGGGCCCTCCGTGCAGCGGCAGAGAGTGCTGGTCTGCCCCGCAGTGCCAGCTCCCTGCTCATGGCCTTCAGGGACGTCACAGTTCACATCGACAGCAACAGCTCCTACACCATCTCCTCCACCACCACCACAACCACCACCTCTCTGGGGAACTCAGGAGGAGGTCCGGGCAGCAGGAAGACATCTGTGAGCGGGACGGGCGGAGGAGGAGATGGCCTGCCGGCGGAGGAGCCAGAGTTCCCCGCACCTCCTCCCAGCGAGGAGCTGGAAATGGTCGACCCAGGGTCCAGGAGGGGCTCGGCAGTGCCGGCTGTAGGAGGGGTTGGTTCGGAGGGCGAGGGCAGCTCGGACAGACTGGGATCCACCTCCACCTCTATCTCTACTTCCACTTCCGTTTCCACCTCGGCCCAGTCAAACCAGCAGCCTGCTCAGATTTACACTCAGTACCAGCAGTACCACTACACTCATCCTCAGCAGATCCCCCCGGGTCAGACTCCTGAGGCCCTGCAGGCTCTGGTGGTCTCTTTGCCAAGGGACCGTTGCCAGGACCCGATTTCCTGCCGCTCACCAACCCTGTCCACTGACACCCACCGAAAACGCCTCTACCGTATCGGACTCAACCTCTTCAACGTGTGAGTGGGAAGATATCTGATTTTAACAAACCTTCTCAAACAGCAGCAGCTTAGTGTGTGATTGGGCTTCATATTGTTGATTTCCCCATTTGTAACTACTTTTATGTACTTTTTGACCTTAGTGATTTTTACATAATTGTGAGTAACTTTTTGAAAAGATAGATGCTATGACTTCTATATTTTTCTTCTTTTCAGAATATTTATCTAAAAATATTTTGAAATCTGCTTCTGGATTTGTCGTCCTATGCTACTTTTAGTTTATCTACTACTTGGCTACTTTTAGTTATTAACAAACCTTTTGTTACATTTAGCTTTTTGTTGCTTTTAGTGGCTCTTGCTATTTTAGCTTTAAGTTATTATTTTTCGTCTTTTAGCTGGAGTGTTATTACTTCAAATTTTAAGTACACTTTTGCTACATTTTGTTGTCAGCCTTTTTGTTATTTTTAGTTTCTAACTAGGTTGTGTCTTTTGCTTTTAGATAAACATTTACTACTCTAGCTTGTATAGCTGTTTTAGCTATTCTTAGCTACTTTAGTTTGGCCTTTTGATACTTTTTACTAGACCTTTACTACATTGGTTTTTTGCATACCTTTTTTTGCTAAATTTAGCTTTTAGCTACTTTAAACTGCTTTTAGCCTTTAGCTACCATTTTGCTACATTTTGCTAAACCTTTACTCTTTTTTTTTAATCTTGTGCTGTTTTTGCATTTAGCTACCTTTTTGGTAGTTTTAGTTTTGAATAGCTTGTGCTACCTTTAGCATCTAGCTAGCCTTTTGCTACTTTTAGTTATTCTGTTGTACATTTAGCTTTTGGTTAGCCTTTTGCTACTTTTGACTTCTAACTAAACTTTTTCTAATTTAGAGTTTTAGTTAGCCCTTTTCTGCTTTTGGCTTTTAGCTAGTATTGTGCTTTTAGCTTTAACAATTCAGTTTCAGCTCAGTCAGCGAAGTCACGCAGCACTCAGCATTCACACCACATTTTCCACAGAACATACAGGGTTTTTTTTTAGTTAATGTTTGAGATTGTTGGGTGGAGCTGCCAATTTAGCTCCAACTTAAAAGGGTGTGATGTCCGTGAAATAAGAGATGACGAGAGAGCAAAATGTAGCAGAACAGCAAGAAAGGCACGAATGGCGTCAGAGCCCCTCAGACTCTATAAACAGAGTCTACGGTTGGCCTCCGTTTAATATTAGTTCATACAAATTAAAGTAAATTAACTCAGTGGCAGCTGAACTGATCCCCAAGTCCTGAGCTCACAGCTTTTCTGCATGACTGCTCTCTTCTTTTTCCTGTTTGGCCTCCCTCTTACACACACACACACACACACACACACACACACACACACAC